GGCTGATGGGCGGGGCCACACGGGTTTTGGGGGGGGGTCGAATTTTTTATTTTTTTTTTGGCAGGTTTGAGTGTTTGGGCGCGTAGGGCCACGTGTCCGAGGCCCAACGCACCCATTCCGTTTTTCGGAATTCAACGGGACACCCCGTTTTTGCGTTAAACGGGATTCGATGGGGATCCCCGGGGCCGTTAAACGGGTTCAACAGCGTTGAATTCCGTCCGTTCTCTGTATATCGGACACACAAATGCCAATCCATGGTCTAATTTTCAAAAAATGCAAAGAAACACACACACACACACACAACCTCCTGATGAGTTGGTGAAAGTCTGACAAAACAGTCTGGCACAGTCATGATTTTTTTGAGTGTATAGCAGATATGACAACACACACACACACAACCTCCTGATGAGTCGGTGAAAGTCCGACGAAACAGTCTGGCACAGTCATGATTTTTTGAGTGTATAGCGGGTATGACAACACACACACACACACACACAGTTTGTCGGAAATGATCCGAACTGCAAATCCGGACATCAACTTGACGACATACACTCCCAATCAATAACAGATTTAGCAATAGGGATTTCAGAAAGCGCTTTCTGGTACCAGAAAGGGCTTCCTGTGTATGGGTGTTTTCATATATTATATACACTAAATCGGCTGGCAGCAATTTCCATGTACGAGGACATGGGCCTGAGTCAGCCTCCCGGCCAAGTTAAAAGGCTCAAGCTGAGTCATGGACATAAACACTACGACGGTAGTCTGCTGCCAGCCACACTCGAAGTCACATTCTAAGTCACACACTGAATTTCTGAGTCCCACTCTGAATTTCTCACTCGTCACAACAGTCCGGGTCACACTCTCAGTCGGTGTCTAAATCTCACGCTGCATCACATACTGAGAGTCTATTCACTGTCTAACTCACAGGCTTGAGTTACATCTGCATCACAGTCTGAGACTCCGAATCACAAACACACACACACTCTCAGTCACAGGCTCGAGTTACAACTTACAACTGTATCACAGTCTGACTCACAGTTGGCTTTCGCGTTCTGCGCTACAGTCGGAATCACAGTGGATACCTTCGGACCACCACACAAGTACTAGAGAAAAGCTAAACGAAAAAGAACAAACTCTAGCAAAGACAGACAGGCAAAACAGTCCGAGTCACACTCTGCGGCACACTCTGTGTCACACTCATGAGTCTCCCTCGCAGTAACCCTCCCAGTCACTCTTGTAGTGACCCTCGGAGTACGGCCTGAATCGGAGTACGGTTTAAATCACAGTTTCAGTCTGCCCGAGACACGATGAAGAACTCCTGACCATCACAAGTACTACAGAAACGGAAACAACAGAAAAAAGAAAAAGTGTTGCAAAGAAGAAAGCGAACATAAAACAAAACAGAAAACGATAATGAAAATGCAGAGACAGACATAGAGAGAGAGAGAGAG